AGAGAGCCAGGTGGAATTACTGAGGTCGGACTCCTAAAAGGAACAAGTTTTGAGCAAGTCTGTAAAATGAGAAAAAGCCTGGAAGAGAAGACAGAGGAGGCATGTCACACCTGTATTTATACAAGAAACTTTATTACCGCCATTAAGATACCAATTTGATGTGCTGGTTATGCATATTTTAATGCACACTAAAATGGATATATGACCATAAAAATAAAAATATATATGGGCCCATGTGCCACCAAAAATCCTTATTTTGTGAAGCAATAGGGGTTTCCCTGGCCCTCATGGGGCGCCCTGGCTGGAGGGCCTGCAGCTTTAGGTCTAAAACAGCAACAGGAACCTGGAAAGACCCAAATCTAAGACTGCTTGGACTGAGCAGGATCCGGTACTTCTCCAAGAGCACATTCTGTGTCAGGCCGGAGGTCTCTATGTCTACTCTCTGCTTCCCTGGGCTGCCCCCAATCTCTCTGCGAACCCCAAGTACACAGGGGAGCGTAATGAACGCAAAGGGGGAGGAAAGCCTCTAGTCCTGGGAAGGCTCTGTGACCTCCAACCCACCAGGACGCTCATCTTACACCCTTAGCAGAATGGCGTGGGCATTTTAATGCGTATTTGCTAGATGTCAAGATACAGGATCCTGTGCAGCGGCATGGCACATTTTAACAAAAATGCCCTTTGGTATTCTGGTAGTTTTCATTGTTAAGCCATTCCCTTGGTCTTCTCCTGCTCTCACACCTCCTGTTTCCTTTGTAAGGACCTCTCCCAGCAGAGAGACACAACAGCCCTTTCCTGTTTGTGGAGTGGCCACTAGACACACCAGGGAGATGCCAGACCAGCAGGAGGCACTGATCAGTCAGGCATCCTCCTCTTCCTCTCCTCACCCCAGGGGAGACATTGGCTTCCCTGCCTCTAGGCAGGAGCTCCCTGCCCCTCCTCGTGCCCGTCCCCAGCCCTCCACCCTCTGGCCCGTCTCTATGGGCATGGCCAGCACCACGCCTCACTTGGCTCCTCAGGGCTTGTCTATGGCATCTTTTTAAGAGCATGCTGTGGCCTTGGTCCAGCTTCTTGGGACTCTGGAGTGGTGAGCCCACCTTTGTCATCTCCCCGTGAATGCAAAGCCTGGAGCCTGCTTGTCTACCACCCACGGCTGCTGAGCTGTGTCATCTACGCACGGGGCCATGGGAGTCAGCTTGCTAGCGGTCTCCATGGAGAAGGTCAGAGGTCACAAGAGAAGAGAAGCCACGGAGAGACATGTCAATGTATCAAAGGATGCTCACAGTTGACAGGGATCACTTTCCTTTCTTAAAACGGGAGGGGGAAAAAAGAGAGAGAGAGATCTTTGTCGCAGAAGCTAGATCAAGAGGGAGGGAGAGGCAGAACGAGGGGGGGAGAGTGACATCTGTGTCAACTGTTTATTTTGGTGACTGCCTGCAAGTTGCAGGCAACATGGCTGAGCAGAGCTGTCATGGAAACACAGTTCTGCGGCAGATGACAAGTTGGCATGTGGACCATGTAGGTGGAAAAGAGGCCCGGGGAACAAAACTACCTGTCAGGCAGGCAGGGGGAGGAGGAAAACCTCCCCGCACACACGTTCCCGTAATTAAATGTCAGATGTACACAATGCAGGAAAATAATTAGCACGGCGTAATTACCGTTCAGATGGAGTCCCGCGTATGTGCCAAACAAATTGCTGTACTAGAGCGCAAGCTGCTGAAACAAATTGGGTTACTTAATTTTTACGTGTAGCAGCCTGCTTTATTGTTTTCCAAGATGCAAATGTTTCATTAATAATGCAGCCTCCCTAAGTGTGCAAAGTGCTGGGCCACCTCTAAGGCAGACCCACCGGCCTCCCTCCGGAGACTTTGCAGACAAAAAACAACAACAACTTGACCTCTCTCTTTCCACACCTGCCCCTCCACCTCCTCTGCACATAGGAGTCAAGAGGACATTTTAAGCCAGAAATCAGAACATGTCACATATTTGTGGTAAGATCTTCCAGTGGCTCCCACTGACCTGGGGATGAAGCCCAAAGGCCTAAAGGAATGGGGTCCTCAGGCCTCTCCCCGCCCTGGGCCCCAGCCACGCCAGCTTTCTTTCCATTCAGGTTCAAGTCTTCTCTGACTCAAGGTCTTTATCCTTGCTGTTCCCTTTGCTCCAAACACCCCTCCAGCTCTCCATCTCCTGCCCTCCCCACACCCACCTCTCTGCAGTTGGCTGATTCTCTGGACTTAGATTTTGCTTCCAAAGGGAGACCTTTCTGACCATAAAAAGTAGGCCCTGCCCCAACCCCTGCCCGGCAGGTCTCCGCTAGAGCTCTGCGCTTGCGTCCCCCATGGCATCGGTCACGCTCTGCTAAAATTTTATATGCCATCTTGTGTTTTTATTTGTTTAGTGTCTGCCTCCCTCATGAAACTCTAAGCATGTAGGGGGTAGAGATCACATTTATTTTTCTGGCTAGAAGGCGGTGTGTGTGTGGACATGCATGAGCACACGTATATGTAAATACATATACATGTGTGTTTATTTTATATGTATACATCGCATAGATTATATATATCTGGGCCTTTCCAGAGCACAGGAGCCCGTCTCACCTTGCCCGGCCCTATCTGCGGATGGGCGAGGAGCCGAACAGGACATTTACTCATTGGACTGAAACAAACGTTCTCTCTCTGCCCCTTTTCCCGCCCTCCACGCGCGCGCGTGCGCGCGCGCGCGCACACACACACACACACACACATACACACTCACACACAGCAAAACAGCCTGCTTCAAAGCGGGAGGCGGGAGGAGGGTATCTGTTTCTGGCAGGCTCCCCGAGGAGGCCTCAGGGGGCTGGTAACTGACTCCCCTCTCCTTCTCCAGTCGGTCCAAGCCTCTCCTCTCATTAGCCCACCCTGGATCTCAGACCACCCTCTCTGCTCAGCTCCCGGCCAGGATACCCTCCTGCCAGGGGCTTTTACTGGCTTACTTCCCCTCCTGGATGTGGGGCTTCCAGAGCCAAAATGGGGAAAGCCCTGGGCAAAGTGGGATGAGCTGGTTACACCGCAGAAGCCCAAAGTATGATCTTGCCCCTTGGGCTCCTCTCATGAACTTTATTTCCAGGCTGTCTGAGCTCATGTTTCCTCTATCTCTGGTTCTTACTGGGCCCTCAACTGGGGCACAGACCAAAGATACTAGAGATAGACTCCTGGGTCTGACCCCTGGCTCTACACAGCCAATCATTTGCAAAAGCCCAGGCCCTGCTTCTAGGGAACATGAGCTAAGACACCTTCCTCTCAGATAACATAAACACTGTAGGCCTCAGTTTTCCTCATCTGTAAAATGGGCCTATCAATTGTACCTATCGAGGCTGTTGGCGTCCCACCCAATCCGCCCTTCCAGTCCTCCAGATGCCACGAGGTTTGGGTGCTAAATAGCTCAACGCTGCCTTGAAATATGGGCGTTCCTCTCCCAGAGAGGCATGGGAAGTTGTGCCCCACCTTCTCCCAGGAGATGTGACTTACAGCCAAAGACTGATTGACACAAGAGAACAGAAGCCCAGCCCCGCTGCCACTGGTGAGAACAGGTCTGTGGTGCCATTCACATGCCAGCACGCCCATGGAGGGGACGGAGGCCAGGTTTTTGCAGCCACATCTTTGTTTGGCTCCCTCCCCTCCCCTAGCCTGCCTCCCTCACTTCCTGAAGATTTTCTCCTGCTGCACTTCCTCATCCAGTTGCTTGCAAAAGCTCAGGCTCTGCTTAGTGAGCTAAGACACCTGCCTCTCAGTTGCTGACGAGATTAAATGAGAGCACGCACATCAAGTGCTTACATCAGAGCCTGGCACCTAGTAGGTTCCTGTGCTGTGGCTGCTCCGTCCTGACCCGTGCCACTCAGTCTTACCCCGTCAACTGCAGAGCATGCCTCTCCCCCTCCCAACCCACGTGGCTCCACACTTGCTACTGAATGCCCTTATGCATGGCACACTTGCATGGGCATACCCAGCGCTACGCCAAAAGCTGGGGACCCCGGCTGCTATGCAATCCCCGGCTTGTAAGTCAAGAAAATGCTCCAGATGGAAAGGGCCCTGCGTGACACCGTTATGGAGGAAGTTATTCTAATATTTAAACTAACCATTTGAAAGCGTCAATAGTACTATTCTAAGGAACACATTTCCTGCAACGGATCAATTGATCCCTTAGGACTGCTGCCGGCCTCTGGCCCGCAAAACTGCTTCCCAGCCAGATCACAGACGGAAGCATCCTCCTGCCCTTTTCACTGATGAGCCTTGTCCCAGGACCCCAGCCTCATCACACTGTGATGAAAACCCTGCGGGAAGAGGGAGGTCGGGTTTTTTTTCTGCAATGCAGTGCAGATTTTAGGGAGCCTTTCCCGAGGTTCCCCCTCCCCCCTCTCCAATCCATCCCCATCACTGTGCAGTTAGGAGACAGAGAACTGGCTAAGAAATCAGGGGCTCAGTTCAGTCCTTGAGAAACTCAGGGCATGTGATAGGACCCAAGAGTCATCAGATATTTATTGAAAGAGCAAAACCATGATTAACAGCCCACCGTTCCTGAGCATTCACTGAGCACAAGGGTTTTGCTAACTACTTTGCATGTATGACGTGCTTAATCCTTACCGCTCTCCTGTCCTCCTCCTCCTCCTCCTCCTCGCTCCCCGGAGAGCAGGGAGCTCGCTCAGGGAGCACCTCTAGCCAGAGAGAGTAGGGCTCATCCCAGCAGCCCGGGCCATGTGCTCAGCTACTAAGCTCCACCCTTCCTAGCACTAGCCTGACCTCCAGGGTCTTCCCGCTGAGGGAGGGGTGGGAATAAGAGCAAATTCTAGAATAAGTGGGGTGAGTGAGTGAGCAACTAGGAGGCAACAGTGAGTGATGGGGACAGCACGAGGCACTGACAACGTCACACCGCGCCAAGCTGTGAGACTCAAGTGCTCCTGGGAGAAGCAGGGGCTCCTTTTCCATCGCCTCTTGTCAGCAGCTTGCAACCTCTCCATCAAAGACTGCTACAAGGAAGAATCTATCTGCCGGCGGTCCCAGGGACCTGCTCCGTGCCAAATACCCTCCCAAGCAAATATTGATATATTAACCGCAGCTCAAACACCGTGAGTGCAGTGAGCATGCCTCCGCAGGGAGGTGGCTGGCCCGCTGCCACTGCCCACCGCCCTCCCCAGCGCCAGCAGTGGGCTCCCCTTCCTGGTGCAGGAATCTGCGGGCACCTCCACTTGGGCTGGAGCCGCCACCCAGACCAAAGGAAGGGAGGGTGGCGGTGGTATGAGGGGCCGGAGGAAGAGCAATGCAGGGTTGTTCTTTGGGGTTCAGGGAAGGCCCATTCCTGAGGGGCAGAGCATATATGACTCTTGTAGGCCAAAGGTTACTTCAACCACACCCATCCCCCTCTCAAAAACTCAGCATTCCCCATTGCCTCCTCAGTCAAGTCTAAATCCCTCTGGATCTGGCCACGGCTTCCAGCAGGGGCCTAGCCTAGAATCCAAGCTCCCTCCTGTCATCCTCTGTCCGCTGCAAATGGAGCCTCCTGCGATATCCAAGGCAACCCCAATCCTTCCCTTCACCACGCATTTGATTACTCTTTTCCTTTCTTTCTGCTTCTGTATTGGTTAGAACCTGACCTACCCCTTAGACTCAGCTCAATGCCACCTGTTCCAGAAGCCTTCACTAGCCCCTTGAGTTGTACCTTCCTCTCTCTCTCTCTCTCTCTCTCTCTCTCTCTCTCTCTCTCTCTCCTCTCTCTCTCTCTCTCTCTCTCTCTCTCTCTCTCTCTCTCTCTCTCTCTCTCTCTCTCTCTCTCTCTCTCTCTCTCTTTTGTAGGCCCAGATCTACCCCGATTCCATCCCCCAGATCACAGAACTGTGCACTGCCTGCTATATTGTTAAACAAAACAGAATACAAACAAAAAAAGGAAATCCACTGCCTTGAAGCTGAGTTCAGGAGCTTCAGTCCCCCCCCTCCAGCCTCTGCCCTCTTCGGAAAAGCCTTTGTCCAGGCCATAGAGACCTTTAAAACGTTCCTGTAATAAAGTCAGGTCATGAGGGTGCATAATTCTGTGGTGAGTGCCCATCCATTGCATATTCACTGTGAACATAAACTAAAACTTAACCAGTTAACTTTATTTATACTCGGGATGGAGCCTTCTCTTTTAATAAAACAGAATCCGTTAAGGATTATAAACAAACAGTGTTTTATGAACTAAAACTGCAGTGCACTAGTCACTCAAGGGCAGAGACTGGGCTCTGGGAGGCTCAGCCAGCTATAAATAAAGATAAGGCCCTGCCAGGCCTGGGCTTGGGCAGAGTAATTGCTGACTCCATAATCAGCTTCTCCCCTCCTTCCTCAGACCCACAAATCACCAGGGTGTTGGGTCGCTGCCCACTGGATCCAGCCCAGAGACAGAGAGAAATGGCAACGCAGTTTATTAGCTTCGAGACAGTGCAAACTGGGACTCATGAATCGTCTACGGTCTGAGTCAACTGCTGAGCCCTTATTCTTGGAGCTCTTATCCTTGAAGCCCACGTGACTGGACAAGTTGGGCATAGAGTACCCATAGGCTAAGCCTGCATGGACTCTGACCATGGCACTCTGACCATGGGCCCTCAGGGGGTGTCTCTGCTAAACCACCCACCTTCTATGGAAAACACTGCTCCCACCAACACCCACCCCCTCAGCCCAACATGTGGCAGGGCTGCCGTCCACCCCAGCTGAGGGCTGTGGCAATGGGTCCAGGGACAGGCATGTGTGCCCAGCAGGGCCAATAAGAGTCCAAACGGGGGGCTGTTCAAACAGGAGCTGGAAGAACACGTTTTGGGGCTCAGGAGATTGCCTCTCCTGCTATGCAGAGAAAGCCCATCCACAGTGAACACACTCTGAATGGCACCAGGCTGCTGGAGGCAGGTGTACCTTTGTCCAAACACACAGAATGTGCAAAACTCTAACGTAAACTAGGGACTTGAGATGGTAATGACACACCAGTGTAGGTGCATCCTTCCTAACACATGTCCCACTCTGGTGGGGGATGTTGATCATGGCTGTGTGTGTGTGTGTGTGTGTGTGTGTGTGTGTGTGTGTCTGGGGGGGGTGCAGGGAGTAGATGGGAAGTCTCGGTATCTGCCTCTCAATTTTGCTAAAAACCTAAAACTGCTCTAAAAATATAAAATCTAAAAAAAAAAAAAAAAAGGAAAAGGAGAAAAGAAAGTCTATTCTCCCAGGGGAGAAGGAAGCTGAGATGCAGAAAGCAGCAGAAAGGAAAAGGGAGTGATTCCTCATAGCCAGTAAGCCCCCGCTTTTGTGTAACTTGTATCTCTCAGCTTCTTTACCCCACAGAGTTCTTATTAACACTTTCCAATAACTATGATATCATTTATTGGGGACCTGCTAGGTGCACGATATTGTATTTGTTGCTATTTACTGAGGGGTTGCGGTTTGCTAAGGGCTTTCTGTGCATTGTCTCATCTAATCCAAACACCATCAATGAGCAAACCCTCTCCCCTTCCTTTTGAGGATGTAGGATTTGAGGCCAAAAGATAGTAAGTGCCTTTGTCAAGGTTATGTGGCCAATGATTAGTAAAGCCTGGATATAAATGCAGTCTGACACCAAAGCCCATGCCTTAACCCCAACACTAGCTTGCTGCAGTATGATTTCAATTTTGTTAGCATAAACAATATGGGTGTATGTGTGTGTGTGTGTGTGTGTGTGTGTGAGAGTGGGCTCGCAGGCAGAATCACATAAGTGCATGGTAAAAAATGGGGAGATAATATGGACATATCAAAGAGACCGTCTTGCCATCTCATGTTGCCAGCATTAAACAGTAGCATTCAGCTGAAACCAGTTTGGCTCAATGGATAGAGCATCAGCCTGCATACTAAAAGGCCCCAGGTTCGATTCTGGCCAAGGGCATGCGCCTTGGTTGCCGGGCACATCCTCAGTAGGGGGGGTGTGAGAGGCAGCTTGTCGATGTTTCTCTCACATCGATGTTTCTATCTCTCTCCTTTTCTCTCTGTAAAAAAATCAATAAAATATGTTAAAAAAATAAAAACATAAATAAACAGTAGCATTAATTTGAGGATTGTGACTCCTCTGTAAGGAAAAAGTCTGGTGCCCGGCAGGATCTCAGTCAACACTTGTGTAGAAAACACAGCCACAGAGCTGACCTCTCCCTCTGTGGTGTAGACAAGAGAAGGCAGTGCCATTTCTGTCATGCAGGAGTAGGTGTGTGTGTGGGGGGCAAGGACCAGGAAGCACCCCAGCTGCTCCCCGTTATCTGGGACGCTCACTCCCTTTCCCTCTGCGCTCCAGCCCACTGTCCTGCATTTTCTGTCCTTTGAAGGTGTCATGCCCACTCTTGTCTCAGCGACTAGAGCTCTTCCTTCCTCTTTCCCACTCTGACAGGCCAAAGGAGGTCCTATCCAGATCTCACCTCCGAAGTCCTTTCGTTGGGGTCCTCTTTCCTGACCTCTTTGATGGCCCTGGTTTATGCTGCCCTAGACCCTTTCCTGCACAGCATGCTTTACGGCTTCTAATGACACATTGGGCTATTATCTCATTCACATCCCACTAGCCCATCTGACTGATAACTCCCGAAGGCATGGGACATACTTGTAGGGCTCATTCCAAGAGCCTAGCACCGTGTCTAGCATGCGTTTAACATGCATTTGATGGAGGAGGAGAGAATGAATGAATGTGTGCTCAGGATGATGCTGGAGTGAAAGCTCCCCTCACAGTAAGATCCCCAGGAGGAGTCTGGTCCCTTTGGGAAGCCATGCCACCGCCACTGAGCTTGGCAGAGTCTCCTCTTCGACTTCTGTGGCAGGAGACGGTCCACTGGCCAACACCTCAAAATCAAAGACCTATGGGATGCCAAGTCTTGAAACCTGGGCACAGAGGGATGGGCTGTCTCACCCAGGACCCTGTGACAGCACAGGCAGTGGGGACAGACAGGGAAATCAAGGAGGAACACGTCGCCTGCCGGGGACACACGCTCCTTCTCGCCCTCCCTCTTTAATGTGCCAGGGGACACCTTTTACATCCAGCTGATTATGTTTAACCACGGGCTTTGTGCCCTTGCCTTATAATTACCTCCTTTTTAAACCCAGTGGCAAAATTAATTGCCCCTTAATGAAGCAGGGTAGCAATTAAGGGCAGCGAACCTTGTGAGGAAGGAGAAACACATTTGTTTGAGGTGCCCCATCAGGAGCCCGGCTTTACAGGCATTGTCGTTAGGGCTGTAATTATTTTCCGAGCTGGTGTGACACCTCCTCAGACCTGATCCGAGCTGCCAGGCTGGAGAAACCCAGAGTTCCTGCAGAGTTCATTAGAGTCCAATTTGGAGTTTCCTGTCTCCCAGACAGTAGAGGAAATACGATTTATAGCTGCCCCATGCCCACCAGGTCCGGCGAGGAGAGCGCCTTCCCAGGAAAGCCATCACACTGTGTGGCAACCCTCCCTGTCAGCACCGCTCCGGGGGCACAGAGGTGTGGATGCAGCAATGCCCGCAGCTGCAGACAGCGCCCGGGACTTCCACCTGACAAGCATCTCTGGGCAAGAGGAGGCAACCAGTAACCAGCTTGTGGGGACGAGGCTGAGAGAAGTTCTTCAGGGCCAAGTGGCCAGGCTACATGGGTTGGGCTCTCTGACACCCTTTTTTAGCAGACCAGTGGTCGGCAAACTCATTAGTCAACAGAGCCAAATATCAACAGGACGACGATTGACATTTCTTTTGAGAGCCAATTTTTTTTAAACTGAAACTATAGAGGTAGGTACATTGTTATTAACTTAATTAGGGTATGTGGTATTTTGTGGAAGAGCCACACTCAAGGGCCAAAGAGCCGCATGTGACTCGAGAGCCTCAGTTTGCCAACCATTGCCTTAATAGATGATCGGGATACCCCTGCACACTCCTGAGCAGTCTGTTCCTGCCATGCTCTGGGCCTTGGAATAATGCTCCAGCCTCAAAGTTGAGATGACAATGACAACAGCAAGGATGACAAGAGAGATCACAGCT